TTCCGTGTGTCGCGCAGGACGCAGCGCGCGGCAGGGAGAGCGCAACAGCGAAGCAGCAGTATGTCGATATGAATATATTGTAAATACGCACGACGCGAACAGAATGAGATCTATGTGTGCTTGCATCAAACGCAGCAGTTGAGTCACAAGACCGAGACGGACAGCCGAGATTGTCTCGCCGGCGGAATCTTTCGCGTGCCAAAAGATATTGGCTCCTATAGTTTTTAGCCCTTGCTTTTGCAACAGCTTTCTTGCCGCAAAAATATATATGCCTACCCAACACCTGATGTCTGTGTGGTCGTGTAAGACGCGGCTGTCTAGTGCAAGAGCAGATCCGTGCGAACGGCGAGACACCCATGTGTGCCCGCGCAACAGCATTCGTGCACGATCTTGTCGCGAGCCTTTCCGTGTGTGTCGCGCCGGAGTGTGTCGCGCCGGACGCAGCACGCGGCACGGAGAGCGCAACAGCGCATGCAGCAGTATCTTGATATGAGTATATTGAAAATACACACGATATTTATGCGAACAGAATGAGATCCATGTGTGCTCGCATCAAACGCAGCAGTTGAGCCACAAGACCGCGACGGACAGCCGAGATTGTCACGCCGGCGGAATCTTTGCGTGCCAAAAGATGTGTGTGTGTGTGTGCGCGCGTAGCAAGTTTTGGTTCCTATAGCTCCCCAACAGCGAATACGCTTGGGGTTTGTAATCTGGTGAGCCCAAGCCCTGCTCCCTCAGATTTTTGGAGATTTTTGGGGCAACTAAACTCTGCACTAAACACTGTACCTGAGGTAACACACATTGTATTTCAATAATCACCCCCCCCGCCCCCTTCCCCCCACTAAGCAAAACCAAACTCTGTACCAGGGTTTATGCTTATCTGGCCCCGCAATATTTATGTGTGGGAAAAACTCAGTATTTCAATATTGGGCTGGATCCAAGATCCAAGATCCAATATTCCACAGAAAGTGTTTCAAGGTGATACAAAAAAGCCCCTGCTCTGGTCAAGTGAGAGTTTAGGGAGATGAGGAGGTTTGCAAACATACAAATATTCAGGACCTCTGGACAGAAGAGAGGACGAGGGAAAAGAAGGACCGACTACGAAAAATTTAGTTTGTATATATATATATAGCTAAAATGTAAGCGCTTGTTGCCTCTAACATAAAAGCTTATTGTGTTAAAAACTACGCTTGTTAAAACAACAGGCCCTTATGCTAACCGCCTGTTACACTCACAAAAGTCTCTTGTAAGCGGTGCTTAAAGCTGATATAAGCGTCTATTGAAGGGTCAGGGCATAGCAAGACAACGATTGCAAAAGCAAAGGCTAAAAGCAATAGTAATATAGGAACCAAAACTTGCTGCGCGCGCACACAGATATTTTATTATACGCAAAGATTCCGCCGGCGAGACAACTTCGGCTGTCCGTCGTGGTCTTGTGACTCAACTGCTGCTTTTCTGCGTGCGAGCGTGGATCTCATTCTGTTCGCACAGCCATCGTGTATATAGTCATATCAAAATGCTGCTGCATTCGCGCTGTCGTTACGGGCGTGGCTTGGGCAATAGGGTTTGGGGCGGGGCCGAGGCTGACGGCTTGGGCTTCAAGGTTATAGGGGTTGAGGTTTGGGGTTGAGGGATGTATACAGTTTTGACCAGGGTTGGTTGTTTTTGTTGAGGGTTCAGGGGGTTGTGGTCTCTTGGGCTTACGGATGGAGATGTAGAGTTCAACGGTGGTTTGGGGTTTAGGGTCTAAAGTGGGGTTATTGCTTCGGGTTGATGATTAAACGCCAAGCAACAAACCATGAACCTCAAACGCCAGACCCTAATTAAGCCTTTCCTAGATATATCAAAGAAAAAATACTCAGGGGTCGTGGTGAAGTTTTGGGGTTTTGGGACTGCGGGTGTTTAGGGTCTGCATCTTTGGGTGGAGTTTGGGTTGGGGTTTTTTTGGGGGGGCTTGGGGGCGTTACGGGTTCAGAATTTCGGGTGCTCAGGATTCATGATTTCGGGGTTGAGGGTCTGTCTGGTTTCAGGAGTATGGTTCGGAGCCGAGATGCTTTTAGGTGAGTTAACTCGAGTTAACTCGGGTTGGCTCTGCGAGTTAAATGGAAAATAAGAGGTCTTGGCGAGTTAACTCGAGTTAACTCGAGTTGGATCTGAGAGTTAGCTCGAGTTAACTCGGGTTGGGTCTGACAGTTAACTCGAGTTAACTCGGGTTGGCTCTGAGACTTAACTCGAGTTAAATCGGGTTAACTCCCCTGCCCCTGAAACACCAAACCCTAAACCCTGAATCCCATGCCCTAAGCCCTAAAACCCTAAACCCTCAGCCCTCAATCCAAAACCATGGACTCGGAACCCTAGACCTAATCCCTAAACATGAGCGCCTAAACATCACCTTGAACCCGAAACCTTGAACCTAAGTCAGACCCCTGTATATAATAAGCCCTTTCATCGACGTAGTCGATCCAAAACTTCAACTCCAAACACAAGTGAATAAATACATGAACCAAAATCAAAAACTCACAATAAATACACACACACCTTTCTATATTTTTTTATATAAACACCTCTAAACGCGAAGCCTTAAATTTTACAACAGAGGAGGCTGCGGGAGCCTGTTTGTTAGAATGAGTTTGTTGCGTTGTTTGCTTTCTCGTTTTTTGTTGGATCGTGATGGTCGATGTTAAAACATCGAAACAGACAAGACCGCTTTCCAAAAGAATGTGGACTCTTGGTCCCTGGTTGTGGCCGCCCCGCTTCCCCCAATGTTGCAGTATTGAAGCCCTTTCAATATTGGGCTGGATCCAAGGTCCGACGTCCAAAGATTTCGCAAAACAATCTTGGATCCAGCCAGGACACTCCCCCCAATATTGAAGTATTGAAACCCTTTCAATATTCCAAGGTTGGTTCCAGCCTGCGCCTTGGATCCAAGATGGCCTCCGAAAAAACTGTGAAATCTTGGATCTTGGATCCAGCCCAATATTGAAATATTGAGTTTTTGCAATGTTTTCAATATTGCGCCCAACCTAGGCCGTGGAACCAGATTAGTAAACAACAACTAAGGAGCTGCAATTGAGTGTTCATCAAAGGACTATTCCCACAGCGTTCCACTTCAAACAATACGTGTATATATATATATATATATATCATCTTTGTGGGCGTATGTGTTTTAATTAGATATGTGCGTAACTATGCAGGTGTTAGTGCAGAGTTTAGGTTTTGCTTGGGATGACAACTGAAATACCATGCGGTTTTAGTACAGAGTTCAGGCTTTGTTTTTTTTGGGGGGGACATGCAATGTGGCTAGCTAAGGTATAGTGTTGGTACAGAGTTTAAATTTTGCTTCTTTGGATGATTACTGAAATTGCAAAGTGTTAGCTAAGGTACAGCGTAGTGCAAAGTTTGGGGGGTGATTGCTTGAGGTACAGTTATCAGCGCAGAGTTATTTCTGGTTTGCCCTGGTTTGCTTATCGGAGGATGAGAACGGAAATACAATGTGTTAGCTAAGGTGCAGTGTTTAGTTCAGAGTTCAAGTAGTTAAGCTGCTTGCTTATCAGGGGGAGGTGGGGGGGGGGAGGGCTGATTATAGCTATTCAATATGTGGCAGTTCAAAAGAGTTTAGGTTTTGCTCATTGGGGGATGATTGCTTGAGGTAAAGTTTTTAGTACAAAGCTTAGGTTTTGCTTATTGGGGGATGTTTACTCAAATACAGCTGGTGTTTTGACAGCTTCCAGCAAATCATCCCGAACACAAGCTGAACCGACATAGCACAGAAGAAGAGCAAGGTGGATCAGGAGGTCCTAGAAAGAGTGAAAGGATATCTGCTCACCTGTGAGAAAAGTTGCTGTGTGCTGCTTCTTGGGGTTGGCCTTCTTACTCTGCTCGGACGCCATGCCAGACTACGGCCACAATCTTTTAAAGCAACTTGAGCCAGTATGCACATGGAAAGCCTACGTGCACGGAAAAACAGCATTCATGCTGAACTTGTTGCACAAGTAATTGGCAGTGTCGGGCCCTTC